GAGCTGCTCTAGTAAAATAAACCCAACGAGGGTGTTATGGGAACTTTTGATCTAGAGCCAGTTGGTCAGAAGTATAGGTGACAACCTGGACTTTCAGTTGGTACCTGACAAGAGGTCACTCTTGTGGGACTGAGTCCTTGACCTGTGGGATCGGATGCTGTCTCCTGGTAGATAGTGTCAGAAGTGAGTAAAATTTGTGGGGCATCTGGTCAGTAACTGCTAAGAATTGGAGAATTGATTTGGGTTATACAAAAAAACAAAATGAAACAGACAAAAACCCCAACATTTCTGCTAGTAATAGAGACACAATGGGAGTGAGGGATGAAGGTTTTCCAAATCTTTGTATATACTCTAGTTCCGATTATGGATCCCAGTCTTTCTCGTTCAGTGCCCTTTCTTGTGCACCAGCCAGATAGTAAGGCAGGAGGCTTAATGACCATCTGTAGTTCAGTAAGTTTGGATGTCAGACTTTGCATTTATTTTCCAGCTATTTCAATCCTTTGGCTTCAGGAAAGTAGAGATGTTGGCAATATGCTAAAAAGCCCATGGGTTCAAACTGACTTAAGTCAAAAATTTAGGACTTGGAGCAGTCATGGTCTCACTTTAAGCTTTCCAGGGCTATCAGAAAAGCTACTGAATGCCACAGTCCTGGAATTCCTCATAACCCTCATACATGTCTCTGGTAATGGCCATTTAGTTGCCAGTGCTTTCAACAAGTGCCTTATTTCAGAGCAGTCACAAGTGGTAATGTAATTAATGCTTTGGAGACTTTGTGGCCTGGACTACCAGGTCATACCGCTTAACACTAATTGGATTTTCTGTACCTTCAGCTCCATCAGACCATAAAACTATGCAAATACCCATTCTCTTTGCATTTCTCTCAGGGTCTATTGTCTACAACCACATCTTTCCAATATCTGTCTCATTGTCCTCATCTGTGAATTTCAGAAACTGGCAGGTCTAAGAAGAAAAAGAATATACTGAAAATATGCCAGGTGGTTTATGACATCTTCAGGGATGCTAGGGAACCAGGCTAAAATATTGAAGCAAGGCATCCTAGGTAGCTGCATCCAGGACCACCTCTGCCATCACTGACCACTGGGCACTTCAACTCTATCACCCCTAAACTTCCATCTTGTGGTCCACGGTGGCTCCTCCACCTCCTCTTATCACGTATGCCTTTAGATCAGCAGAAAGGAACCTGGAAGTGGACGTGGAAGGCTGCCCCCTTTCATTTAGGGCGAGATCTGGACATGGAGCACATTCCTTCCAATCATATTGATTTATCAGAATGTCATGTGGCCACACCCAGCTATAAAAAAGGCTCGGATAAGTGACTTCTTCTGGGCAGACATGGGTCCAGCTAAAATTTTGAAGTGTTATTACTCCAGAAGAAAGGGGAGACTAGAGAGCTAGGGACAATTTTCTCGACCACAGTTATCTTTTGTGAAAACAAAATTATTCAAGAAAGTATTATAGACAAATGAATTTTGAATCAGAATAAAATCTCAACATGGAGAAGACACAAAATATAGGAAATGAAATTTAGTATTTAAATCAATAAAATGGTTATATAGCGAAGAACTATATTGCAAGGGTTTAAGAGAGGACTCTTTAAGTAGAAAAACGATTATTATTTAGTTTCATCAATTGTTAATATAAAATATAAAATTTTTTGAAACTTGTAAAATGTACTAAAGGTCTCATTTCCGAGTGTAGGTGAAAGACACAATACTTGTTGTATTTTGGTATTAACAGAGAATGCAAATACTTCTGCCTATATAACTTTAAAAGAAAGTATTAGAGAATTCTTTGTGGAATTTATTGCCAGAAGGAGTAATGAGAACAATGAAAACAGGCAATTTAACAACACCAAGGAAAGACGCAGGGAGGAAAATAATAAGATACCAAGGGATATCGCAAGAGAACCATCTTCTTCCTCCTTGCGTATTTGTCAGGGTCTAACACATATTTACCCATTTGAGATTACCATATTTTGCTGTGTATAATATACACCCACATTTTTGGCCCAAACTTTCAGGAAAAAAAAATCTTTCATTTGAATTTTGTAATTCAATTATTTATTTATTTATATTTAGATACTTATTATTTTTTTTGTATTATAAAGGAATTTTAGCATTTCTTTGTGAACATATCATGGTACCAGAAATTTTATGTTGCAAATAATTCCAAAACACGAGAACAGATACAAGGTATTTCAGGGACTACCCACGTATAATGCGCATTCTTATTTTTGCCTCCAAAATTTGGGCAAAAAGTGTGCATTGTACATGGCAAAATATGGTACTGCCCATGTTTCCTTAGGCAGAAGGAGGTTTTTTCTGTACTGTTTGCTAAAAACATTATTTCCTGGTGTAGAGTCTAGTTAGGGACAGGAGGTCTCTGATCATTTCATGGAAGTCTCAATAATGAACACAGCTCAGTGTAGCAACCTTCTTAGGTTATATCGTTAGCTGGTTGCACAGACCATGGAGAAAATCTAAAAGGTTACACTGGCAACTGTTACCCTTCCTGAATTCTCTCCATGTAAACTCAGTTGGAATGGGGAGGGGAATGAAAGCCTGCTTAACAATAATCCACTTCTCGGTTTATGGTCCATAAATAAGAAAGATTTTGACAAATGTAAATAAGAACTGATGTGTTTTTATTGATCCTGGACCAAACTGGAAGGGAGGTTGCCTGAATTCTCTTTCAGCCCATTGGTGCGCAGTCTTGGCAACTTTACCAAATTTTTTATAACTTAATTTTTTATTACCTATACTCACAGATCTATAGAAAATATTACATTTGGACCTTATCATTTTACATAGGTAGAATTTAATCATTAACAAAAGTGAAAATTAAAAAAAAACCAGTATTTAGGCCTGACCAGCGGGGCTCAGTGTGTTGGGACTTACCCCGAAAACGGAAGTCGCCGGGTCTGGGCGCATCCCTGAGTTTCGGGGCAGGTTGGGGGCAGGCAAGAGGCAACTGACCCAGGTTTCTCACATCGGTGTTTCTCTCCCTCGCTTTCTCCCTAACCCTCTCTCTAAAAGTAAATAAACAAAAATCTTTAACAAACCCAGCATTTATAGTTTATTCTGATCACAAAAATAATGCATATACAAGAACAGAACATTTTAAAGAGACAAAAAGCATTAGGAAAAAGTAGAAATTAGAGTGCTTCAACTTGGAACTACCCTGTTCCCATTTTCACGTTGGTTCTATTTTTCCACCTTTCTTTTACTTATTTATTTAAATTTTTATTTATATTTATTAAATTTTTTAGAGAGATAAAGAGGAGGCAGTCTCTATATGTACATACATGTATATACATGTATATATATGTATATACATATATATATATATAGAGAGAGAGAGATTGATTTATTTTTCCACTTATTGATGCAGTCATTGGTTGATTCTTGGTCTATGCCCTTGGGATGATGTTCTAGCCAACTGAACTACCTGGCCAGGGCCATCTACCTTACTTTTACATCTTCTCAACTATTATTATTATTGTCCCTCCCTTCCCTTCCTTCTCCTTCTCTCCCTTCCTGCTTTTCTGCTTTTTTTTTTAATTTATAGAGAGAGGTGAGGGAGGGAGAAAGAGAGGGAGAGAAACATCGATGTGTGATAGATACATCCATCGGTTGCTTCTTGTACGCCCCCAACTGGGGACCTGGCCCACAACCCAGGCATGTGGAGAATGGAACTGGTGATCTTTCAGTTCACAGGCTGGCACACCACCCACTGAGCCACAACATCCAGGGCCTTTTTTCTTCTTCTCAATAGTCAGTACTTGTTTAGTTACAAAAATATTTATTAATGTATTTGCTTCTACTACTTTGGGGGCTTACTTAATTTTGCAAAGAATATCCATCCTTTAGTTGTTTTTTTTTTCCCACCAAGAACTTATCCGGTTTGTTCCAATTTATTTCACTTGCCTCTAGGCTCTTAACTTCTCTGGCCGGCTGCCTTGATTGCTCTTCAATATTTTATTTTTTCTAGTTTTATAGTATCTCTTGATGTGAGTGTTAATTTGAAAAGCATTTTGCTTAAAAAGCTTAACTTTAGACTTAAAAAGTACAAGTGTAAAGCCTATGCAGCCTTTTCATGTTAAAAGATTCACACCTTTTTCAATTAGACTTTCTTAAATTTTTAGCATCCTCTGGTTACGCCAAATGGGAGCTGGTTTTCAAAATTGTTTTTAAAGCATCTCTTCTGCCCTATTTGCTTGTGAGTGTATTATATGCTGTTCGTCATGAATCTATTTCTTCCATTACATCCATCCCAACTGAGGAGTCTTTGAATTGCAACAAAAGCTGCCAAACAGATTAGTTGGGAGGGGGAAATACAGCTCACCCTTAAGTAAATATGTTAAACCAAGTTCTCACTCTTTGCCCATTGAGAGTCAGGATAATGGTCTGCATCGGTACATTTTTGTTCTTGAAGTGAATCTCTCTAGTCCTAGTCTCTATCGCCCTCGGACAGTGGCTTATCATTATAACTCTTCAAAATGTAATTGCTACATCTCTGCATTTGTCACTTTTGTGACGTGGCATCAGCTTGGTTGTCCATGATTCATAATCGAATGCCTGTCTTGCTCCAGGCACTGAGTATGCAGTGATAAACAGACACAGGATTTTTGTAGTTTGTGATAAAAATGACATGTCAAAGGGGGTGATGCTGGTAAAACTTAGCCACTCATTCTCCCGAAATCTGCCAGGGTGCTGCACTGTCTTAACTCACAGTTGGGCTGTCTTCTCCCTCACTGAGGCTTCACAATGGCGTGGTGTGCGGTTTGTAGGTCTGAGGGTTTCTACGTGGCAGGCTGTTATTCTGTCTTTGGTGGGGATAATGTCTTCTTTCTTGCTGCTTCTCTCTTCTTCATGGTAACTTCTTTTTATTTTTTTTTCATTTATTGATATGAGAGAGAGAGAGTAAAACATTGATTTGTCTTTCCACTCTACGTATTCATTCACTGGTTGTTTCTAGGATATGCCCTGACCAGGGATTGAACCCTGCAAACTTGGAGCTTTGCGATGATGCGCCAACCAAGGAAACTACCTGGCCAGGACTTCCATGGTAATTTCTTCAACTTGCCAAAATGATGTAACTTTTTCCTTTCCTTTTTGTTCAGCCACTCTTGCATGGTTGCCAAGGGAAACCAGATAAGTAATTACTAAGTGTCATATTATTTTAAATATTCTCTCTCTGGATAGAGATAAAGCACATGACTTTAATGACATCTATTTCAAACTAACTTCAGGCTCTTGCATTTACGTTAGGCTTTTTATCAGGCTCACAGGTGTTCTAGAGTGAAGTTTCTGGAAGTCTAAGTGCCAGATAAATAGGGGAACATCTAGAAAGAGAAAGTCCAGACAATGTTGTTGGGGAAATTGGGGGGAGGGCATGCATTATGGCATATTCAAGATGGTCCTAATTTTAAAAAAACTATACTGAGACAGGCCAGTTTGCCTGGACAAGTGGAACAGGGAAACAGAGAGCTGAACAAATTGGCTGAGCAATGTACAGCCACATACAGAAGGCCACCTCCCCAGAGATGACATCTAGGCCTCAGCTGTGTTTCAGTTCTGGGCCCAGAAAAGCAGCAAAACCAAATGGGCAAAGCCAAGACCAGAGTCAATGACCAAAGACCTCCTGCTCTGTCACTGACCAGTTAGTGGAGACCATGACCCTGAAAAACACACCTGGAAAACTGATGAATAGTCTGCTGAAACCCTCTCCTTTTGCCTCCCCTAAAATTTTTGGAGAGAGAGAGAGAAGAAACTCAAGACAAAGGACCCAGACCATGCTCTCCCTCTGGGGGGCAGCCCTCCCCTAACCCTGTTCCCTTTCCTCTATTCTTCCCTCACTTCTTCCCCCACAGGCACGCATCTCCTAAACTCTAAGGGACCCCAGGAAGCTTACAACTAGGGCAGCAATGGGCAGCAGCAGTTTGCCCCCGGCAAATCCCCTGGACCTGGTCCCAAGACCACTGATTCTCTAACTTCCCAGTGAGCCAAGACAGCCCAGCCTAGGCTGTCCTGGTGCTTCTTCTAAGCTAGGCCCTTCCTTGTTGCACTGCCTCCAGCTTTAATAAACACACCCTCCTAGTCACCTGAACTCATGAAGTCTTTCCTACACCAAGACTCAGAGACATACGACGAACTGACCAGTGTTCTTCTTCAGAAGACTCAATTGCAGTTCCATGCGGAACTCCTCCAAACCTCCACATTTCCATGGTCCCAATGTCTTCCCTTTTTTCTCTGAGCCTTAAAAGTGGTACATGCTTTCTGCAGCTACTCTATTTGTGATATCTTAGCTTCCATGTTTGCAGTTTCAGTTCCATATAAATAGCTAAAAATTACTTAAGTTAAATTCCCTCTGTTGAAATAATTCGTGTAGTTTATATCTTCTGTACTGGACCCGGACGGATGAGCATATGCCATTTTATTTTTCCCATGAGAAGTACCATAGGTTTATGGCCCACTAAGGGCATAGAGAGGATGGGCGATGTGCCTACCAGTGGGCCCATGGCTCCTGGATTCCAGGCGAGGAGCGTATGCCGTATAGCATAAAGGCTTTTCTGTTCAGGTGAGCATACGGTGGTGTGTGGTCACCAATTTCTAAAATAGGAACATTTCTAGTGATAAATTCATCCCAAAGCAGAAAACTAATGACAACATGGGGAACAAGGTTTGTTACTACTCGCTGAGCTTGCTTTTTGGCTCTTTAAGATAACTGAGCGCTGCCCGTCGATGAGGCTTGGGGCCTCTGTCGAGGTCGTCTGAAGTTTGTGTCTTAGCGTGACTGACACTTAGCACTTGTGATGGTTATTAGATAATTATTTGAGTGTCTTAAAAATGTTTATTCACCTAATTGGACTACTTCTTAAGGGCAGAAGCTATGTCTGTTTTGTTTCTTTCTGTATTTTCAGTTCATAGTGTGGCAGAATATTTGCCAAGTGAGAAACAGATAATTCAGAGTCGAACGATCCCAGGGGACATGCTATGCGACTCTTTTGGGAGTTGCTGAACGGTCTGGATGCCCAGGACATCGTTTTCCTCTAAACTTCCTCTTCTTTCATTGTCAAAGGCTGGGCACCATCCAGGGATGGAATTTCAGGAAGGTGTGTATCAGTTGTTGCCATTCTACTTGCCTTTCCCTGTAATCTTACAGCAAACTAGAGTGTCAGAATTTCTGGTCTAAAAAAACCAGCAGGCTTGAAAATCTTTCCGCTAAAAGCACCAAGAAATGCTAAATAAAAAATCGACAAGCATTGTTTTAGATACGTTTTTGAGTTGGGTCCTGCTTTTCAAAATCTATTCTGTTATTCCTTGCCCTCTTTTTTGGAGTGTAGTTCATTAACATTTAATGCAATGATCGATATGTTTTCATTTAAATCTAGTGTTTATTAGTTACCCTCTATCTGTCTCTTCTGCTTTTTTTTTTTTCTGTTTCCTCACTTTCTACCCTCTTTGGATTATTTGAATATTTTTGGAATTATATTTTTACTTATGTATTGGCTTTTTTGGGAAAAATAGAAGGCAAGATGAAGACCAAATATGAGATGGATTGACTCCATAAAAAAACCCCATACGCATGAGTTTAAAGGAGTTGAGCAGAGCTGTTGAGAACAGGACACTTTGGACATCGTGTATTTATAGAGTTGTCAGGAATGGGAGTTAACAACATGTAACAACAAGTGGTGTTTTCGCTATACTTTTTTGCATTAATTTCTATGTGTTCGCTCCAGGGGTTACAATATACATCATTAACTTTTCACTGTCTACTTGGATTTTATGTATTATGTCACATAAAATGTATAAATCTTCATTTGTATAGGTCCATTTAACCCTATTTGGTATCCTCTATGCTCTAGAATCTTATAAACTATGACTGCATACTGGATGGGACAAAAGTAGGTTTACAGTTGGGAGTATGTGAAACATAGAGTTTGTTCTCGTATGTGAGAAAGTTCATTATTGTATCATTTTACATATGAACAACTGTAAACCTACTTTTACCCCACCCTGTACATTATAAACTCCAAAAATAATGCTATAATTTTTACTTTAAACAATCATATTTATTTTAATAAGCCGATAGTCATATGTATTTTCTAGATATTAGGTATTTACCATTGTTAATGGTCCTAATTTATTCCCCCAAATCTGAGCTTCCTGTTGGTATCCTCTCCCTTCAGTCTAACGAACTCGCTTAGCGTTTCTTGTAGTGCACTTCCGGTGGACTGGAAATCTCCTAGTTTCCCTTTACACTAAAACTTTTTGCTTTCTTTCATTTTCTTAGCATGCTAATACAGCATGCTGAATTGATGCTTTCACTCTTTAAGCACTTGAAAATATTCCTTCCATAGTTTCTGATGGAAAGTTTAAAGTTATTGAGTAACTTTTCCTCTTGTATGTAATGTACTGTTTTTAAAATCGCCTCTCTATTTTTGGTTTCAGCAGTGTATTTGTTATCTATTTATGTGTAAAAATTATTTTAAAACTTAGCAACTAAAACAATGTACACTTATTACAGTTTCTGTGGGTCAAAACTTCAGAGTGAGAGAAGGAGGGAGGGAAGTTACTATAATATGTCTGGATGTGGATTTCTCTCCGTTTATCTTGTTTGGGATTTGCTAAACTTCTTGAGTGTATAAATTTATGTCTTCCCCCAAATGTGGAAGGTTTTGTTGTCAGCATTTCCTTACATATTTTTTGCCCCATTCTCTCCTCTCCTTTTGGGATTCTAGTTCCCTGTATGTCAGCCCTTTCGATATTGTCTCTTAGATTCCTAAGAATCTGTTAGGATTCTGTTAGGCTCTGTTAATTTTTTCAATTACTTTCTTTTTATTTTTCAGACTGGACAATTTCTGTTGCTGTAACTTGAAATTAACTGACTCTTTCTGCTCTCAACTTTGTTCTGCTATTAGGTCCATCCAATGAATGATGTTGGATGGTATAGCATTGAATGGTATCCAATGAATATTCAGGTATTGAAATGCTCATTAAAATATGCAACAACATTATAACCATTATTAGTCATTTCTTCACATTTTTTAGTATAATAGTAGCCTCAAAAATTGAAGGTGGTCAGACCTCCTACAAGCTTTGAAAATATTGATACTTAGAAGAGATTCAACACATGTTTGCCGATTGGGATTTAATTATAACAAAAGCAGTGAAAGCAATATCAAGCCACAGAAAGTCTTGGAAAGGACCAAGATACACAAGATGTCTTTACTGACTTGTTCTGGGAAGTCAGACACCCGGAGTAGTCTGATTAGTAGAGTACTAAGGGAAAGGAGTTTATGTCTTAACTCACAGGCAAGGAAGGTTTTAAATCTGTATGGCAGAGTGCCACGTGGCCTGGAAAGCAGGAGAGACTTTGACTGGAACTGGGTATAAAGAACTCTTGCCAGTGGACCATGAGAGGGTACCACAGTACTTTGGATTAACTAGAGGTCCTGCCTGACACTGCTGACGATTCCAGCGGCCTGAAAATCAGACGTGTGCTCTTTTCCTGATTTACAGTACCCGGAGTTGGGACAGTGGGAGAAGGGAGTGCTGTGTGGGTGTAGGTGTATACCCTAAAGGACTTTGATATTTTAGTGGAGGCATTAAGCCTAAATAGCATTAAATAAACATTTTGTTTCCTTTTCACAAATCTCTGGATTGAGAGTTGTCATTCCAATTGGCGGTGGACAGAAGAGCCCAGTAGATATTAGTATTTTGTCCTTGGGAGGGGCCCCTGTTGTATAGCAGTTTTTGGCATCCCTAGGTAGGCCAAATATTGTATTGCCCCTCCCTCGGACCTCTTGTTCGGTAACAATTATGAAAAATCACTGAGTTGAGTCATGTAGTTACTCAGCTATAACTTGCTATATATTATCATCCTAGTTTAATTTGATAATTATTTCATACTTTATGAGAAAAGAAATTAAAGCAACAAATCCCCCAAACCTAATTGAATACTAATCACTTAGGGACCTTTCCAAATTATATCAATCAAAGCCCTACTGCTAGCTCAAGTCTATGAGTTGGAGCACAGAAATCAGCATGTTCACAAAGCTCCTAGATAATTTTTGTGGTTATCCCCATTTGGAAACTGTTGGGTAAAGCAAGTTTTGTAGACTTCTCCCTGCATCCTCTCTCCCACACAGATGAATGAAGATGAAGAAGAATGAAAGGAACCCACATCACAAACACAAATGACACTCAATGACCATGTCCTCCATATTGCTTGACTGTGTAGACTCGGATCTCATAGGGGCCATGAAACATGGGGTCTCACCTAAGGGTAATCTATAGACTCACTGGGGAGACTGGTTCACTTTGTAAGAGAAGTTTAACAGTTTACAGACATTTTTGACTAGGCTGACCTCCATGCAGGGGATTTTCTAACAAGGCTGAGAAACTTCCATATACCAAGAAGCACTTCCTTAATCTAAAAATGCACGTTTTCCCTTGCACTTCCAGGCTTGCTCAGTGAGCCTGGAGGCACATGCCTTACATAGGCACAGAATAATTTGTTGAGTTCAATTTTTAAACAGTTATTTGGTTAATGCTTCATAACGAATAACCAGGCTTTGGGTTCAGACTCTTTGGAACAAGAGGAGATAAGCCAATCTTTACTCTGGCTAAGAAAACTGGGAAAAGGGTTAATGTCCAGAACTGAGCGGGGTGGTTAGGGGAGATGGAAGTTTAGGACCCTTGGATAAGCGGGAAAGGAACTCCAGGAGAGAGACCATGAAGGGAAATAGAGAGGGCGATACATGTCCTTTGGCTTTGGCACATCTTGTCAAGTTTGTCTCAATGTAAAGAATAAAATCAAGATAGACAGTTGACCATCTGGACCAGTTTTGAAAATGTCTCCATATTACAGTCAAAGGAATTGGGAATTTACAGAGATTCAGGTAATTTCTGACGTGGATCTGGCTCCTGGGGTCCACGGTGTTATGGATGAGATGAGACAAATTCACATGGACCACTGAGTCCTGTGGAGGAAAAGGGACGGCACAGCCACTCTCTCAAGGGGAGGGCACCTCAGCCTTTGCCTTGACAGGCTTTTACTGGGCTCAATTTGCACAGGAATACAGGGTGTATATGTAAATCTCATCAGTCAGGCAGAAATGATTAAACAATAGATGACATTCAAAGAACTCTGAGGGTTTATTCTGAGTCAGGGTCGGATAGTTAAAGGGCCCTAAAACCAGGGAACAAACTCGTTTCCTGTTTGGACCCTTATTACTTAAATTGAAGGTATTAGCAAATCAGGTTTCACAGGATTTTATGCATTCTTTCTTAGGCCTGATAGCCCCAGGGAACCTGATCTTTTCAGCACAGGGCCACACCCACCTCCGGCATTCTTTCGAGCTTAAGTCAGGCAGAGGAAGTAAGGCAGCCAAGAGATTTAGGAAACTTCTTGCAGACACAATGAGGACTCAGGCTATGTCAAAGCTGATGGGTGAGGGTCCATCACCCCCTTTTTCTATAGCCCCTCAAGTCCTTCCCTGAGGGCCCCTTCATGACCATGCCTGTCTTAGGTTATTCCTCTTTTAAGGAATCTTACCTGTTATTGGCTAACCAGTCATCTGCCCAGGGCCAAGCAGGGTGAAGAGAACGGGGGACAGAGGTGGTGCCCCTACCAGGAAGATAAGCTTTGTCTCCTAAGTGGCTTATGGTCTCAAGGTCCTTTGCTCAGCCTTAGCCTTGGGGAATTACAGCTTCTGAAACTAAGCAGGGAAGTTACCAAGAGATTTTCTCTTATTTCACTTGGGTAAAATGTACTGATAAGAGTAAATAAACCTAAACTCATATGAAGGGCTGGAAAATTCCATTCCCACCTATTACATTATAAACATCTTACTTGCTCAATTTTAGATGGTATCTTATATTCTAGGCTATATAAGATAAAGATAGTCCAGGAACAACCTAAGTTAGGTACGAGACATCCCAAATTTAGCTAGAAATGTGATCAATTTGTCCCTTGTGTAAATAATTAGCAATGCCAAGAAAAAAGCGCAGAACAAATAAAAACATGATTAGGATTACAAATGAAAACACAGGTCACCAAATTAAAACTGGAGTCTGGTTCTGTTGAAACGGGCTGACTCTGGCCTGGCAGAATGCCATCTTACTGGGGTTAGCCCGAAAGTGTTCCAACATGGCCTCTTCTCTCCCTCAGTTTCCTCCATACATTATGCCTCCTTCATAATATACCACTTATCATTATATTAAAGGTGGTGATGTGCTTAAAACAAAAAGAACAAAACTAGTTTTTCCAGAGTTATTCTATGTAACACTCTAGGTAAAAATATTGCCTTCACTTCTCAAAAGGCAGAAACTTAACCAAGTGAATGTTCGTTTGCTTTAGGTTGTTTTGGAGAACATTCTGGCTTTCCAAATTTGTCTGTCTAAATTATTTTTATTAAAACAGCTGCACATTCACCTCCAATTTGAACTGGTAAAGTGCTTTTACAATCCTTTAAACTTATTTGAAGTGCAGCTAAAATGCAGAACTCAATTTCAGTAAATGTGTGCAATTTGTTTTCGGATTCAGATTGTTTCAATTTTGTTCTGGTGTCGGCCCAGGCAACCACAATTTAATCAATCTCGGGGGAAAAAAGGACAAACCCAGTTAAATAAAATTTTTGGCACTATATTTGGCTTTCACTAAGTGAAGAGATTTTTCTTCTAAGCAAATGGAGAACAAATTGGAAAGTGCCATGTTATTGATGCTTATGAATTAATACAACAGAAAATTTACAAGCAATGCAAAATAATTAACAATTAAAAGCTGGTTTTTGAAACAAGTGATAAAATTGACTGATCGAGAAAAAAAGAGACAAAACAAATTATTCAAATCAGGAATGAAGGAGAAGTTATCACTGTATATTATATGTTAATAAACTATTTTGGGTGATGGAAATATTCTCTATCATAATTGATATATTGTTATAGTTGTTAAAATTCATTGAATTGTACACTTAAGATTTACATATTTCACTGTAAATAAATTTTACCTTATTTTTTAAAAATAGATTATTTATTTTTTTTAGAAAGAGGGGAAGGGAGGGAGAAACAAAGGGAGAGAAACATCAGTGTGTTGTTGCCTTTCACTTGCCCCCTACTGGGGACCTGGCCCACAACCCAAGCATTTGCCCTGACTGGGAATTGAACTGGTGACCCTTTGGTTGGCAGGCCAGCACTCAATCCATTGAGCCATACAAGCTGGGGCTAATTCTTACCTTAATTTTAAAAAATTGAATTGAATGTCTTATGATCTCAGTCCTCTTTTCTCTTTCCTTTCATGTATGCCTTTATGCCAACCATGTTTAGGTAAGACTTGAATTTATTCTACTTGCGAATGAAATTTGTAACCTACTCATTTTCTAGTTACTGTAATTCTATGTTCTTATTTCCCTTCTTCTTAGATTATAAACTCCTTAAGAAGAGGACTGCCTCATTGGTATACTGTGTTCCGAGATCTCATATGATACCATGAACTCTGTGGGTGTTTGACAGATATCTGGATTATTTCTCGACTCTTGGCTTATGATCATAATTAAAGTGAGCAGAGCTAAACCAAGGGAAGATCAAATGGCAGGCATTTAAGAGGACGAATTAGAGCATGCCTGCAAGTGTTTGTGTGTCTTTGCAAATATATAGCTGTCTGTTCCAAAACAGACCATGAACGATTTTGGTTCGTTTCACACTAACTCTTTCCTCTTCATTGTTGGGCATGATTAAGACTTTCTGTTTTTAATGGATTTAGAAAGTCACCTCAAAAATGTTACTTCGTTGTAAAAACATCTTTAATAAAGTTAAAGATTACTGTATTTTTGGACCATAAGACGCACCCAGGTTTTACAGGAGAAAACGAAAAAAATTTGAAGCAAAACATGTGGTAAACTATTTAATAACATAAATAGCATAAAATTTCACCAGTGTAAATGTAAACAGAACTCAACAGCAGCATTAACAACCATTATTCTTCTAAATTTGGGGGGGGAGAAATAAAATAGAAACGTGTGTCTTATAGTCTGGAAAATACAGTGTTTTGACTCACTGCTATATCAGAAACTTCATGAACAGAAATGAAATCACACAGGATGCATAGGAAAAAGTTCCCTAATGTTCATTAAATAGTTAAATGTCTATACAAGTGTATACATCACCCTCATGGTCAGCATTAATTAAAAGAAAATAAAATAGAAAGAAGAATATTAAATATGCATGGGAATCTTGAACATAAGAGAGTGGATAAGGTTAACTTCCAAGGGTATTGCTTTTAGGTAGGACAAGCAGTATTAAAAGGGCAGGTGGGAGGAAGGTAAAGAAGTAGAGGAAAAATTGGGGTGAGGAGAACTTATTTTAAGGCTTCAGGAGCTTGAGCTCGTCGGTTTAAGGCCAAATACTCCTTTCTTTCATCCTCAACATTTATTGTGCGCTGACTTTGTATCAGGTGCTTTGCAAGTCTCCATGGCTACTGAGAGTTCCTGCCCTTGGGCACAGTCTGGGACTCGCGGGGGCACTGTGGGTAATATGTACAAGATGCCTCGCATTTCTGGACATTTGGGGAACTTTCTCTCTCGTCGTGTTTTCTCACACCTTGAATCCTGGTGCTCACTCTATCCTCCTCCCAATTAGATTTCAAACTCATGCAAAAACATGCTATGCCTTACAATATGTTTTCTTTTAATTTTTTTAAATCCTCACCCAAGGATATGTTTATTGATTTCAGGGAGAGAGGAAGGGAGGGGGAAAGAGAGAGAAACATCAATGTGTGAGAGAAACATCGATCGGTTGTCTCCTGTACACACCACAACCAGGGATCGACACCTAGGTATGTGCCCTGACTGGGACGTGAACCCGTGACCTTTGCTGTACTGAATGATGCTCCAACCAGCTAAGCCTGGCTAGGGCTCCTCTTTTATTTTACACAGCACTTAACGACTGTAGGCAGCATAACACTACTATCCTTGGACTCAAGCAAAGGGACCTTTGCCTCCGAAGTCTCCATTTATCATACGCACAACTATGGATGCACGAAGGGACCCACAGGCTGTGTGTCACTGTGGGATGATGCTACGGCAGCCTGACCTGTCATCTCACGCAGCCCCTCTTGAGACTAACAGCATTCATCTCTTTGTTCTTTGCTCCATGTCCTCAAAATATAAGGTGACTGTGTCTCAGGGGCGAAGGTTGTAGGCTGTGCCAATCCCAACAGCAAAAGCAAACAGTATTTCTGAGGGAAGAATTTGAGCAGCAGACGTGGTTAGGTAAGGGAAACAAACAAATTAGTTAACTTGTCAATTCCTTCCTCCCTCAGAGGAATACATTTTTGTACAATAGATGAATACGATATATTTTTACATGATGAATCGTCATATACCAGTACCGCCCCGTGTCCATTTTCTTGCTTGCTCACAATTGAACATAACACCTGGGAAACATTTTGAAATATTAAATAATTCATATTCCTCTTATATTGATAATATATGTAGGTCTAGATAGAGCATGTGTGAAGGGGGATACTGATTCTTTACATAAAAGCTTGGATATTGATATTGATTTAAGAGATGGTAAAAATCATTATACAATAATGTTTATATGATTAGATTAAAAATATTCTGTAATATTTAGCAATTATAAGAATTTGTCAGATGTGTGGCTTTATTAACATTTGAACATGATACATCAAATTCCTGAGTTGTTTCTGAATCTAAGTAAAAATCTTCAGAGAGTTTTTTTACTTCATTTCTGTTGTTTCAGCAAAGTTTCTCCACATTAAAATTACAAGTAAAACAAACAAGTAAACAAAACTTACCTAGGAGCTTCTGTGGTTCTAGAAAGGCCCTCTATTTTGTAATTATTTAGAGGAGAAGCAAATTATGTGAAAATACTGATTATGACCACATATTTAGTGATTTTGCTAGACCCAGGGCGGAGAAGTTAACAGGGAACAGAGGCCTCCAGCTCTACCCATCCCTTTTCCATCCCTGGCTGGAATATCATTGGATGAAACTTTTACTGACCACCTGCTCCCCTGCTTCCACTGCCTCCATCTCCTGTAGTTGAGACAAACAAAACCAGTCTTGCCAGATTTGGCAGCCATGTTGACCTAAAAGTGACCAACAGGGTCATTACAATATCTCTGTAATAAATTTGTATTGCAGTTTTGGGGATCATTCTGTCCTCCCCCCTTTCCTAGGACAATTTCTGGAGGACCAAAGAAGAAATCTTCATCTGAGAGGAGGGACGAGGATGAGCCCTATCCTCAGTCACCTCCATCAGAAGCCGCCCTATCACCCCCTTTCCTGCGTTTAATAAAAACTTTTGGACCCAGACCCCATGGTGGGGGTGGGGCATCTTATTCTCCAAGGCCGCCCATTTTTACTTCTGGAGTCTGTACTTTTGCTTTAATAAATTTACTGTTTTGCTAAATCGTTCCGTCTTGCTCTGAAATCCTTTCTTGTGCAGTGACAAGAACTGGACCGCAGTATCAGGGTTAGGCCCCTCTCAGCCTCCCAGGGGGTTCCCCGGCATCACACCGGATGTCAGAGAGGTAAGTTTCAAGGGCTAAATGTAATTATTGAATTACATATGCTGTTGTTTGGTTGCTCATTGGTTATCACTGGGTCATGAAAAGAATACCCACATATAAGTCTTTGATATTTTGCTGACTTTAGACTATATTAAAAACATAGTTTTGTGCATTTAATTTTTTTGTTATTGTTATGCAAGGTGATTGGTCAAGGTAAGAGGATGGAACATATTTTATTTGAAAGTTTATTATTGCGATTTACAGCTTTCACATCTTTTCTCTATTGACGTGCGAGTCTCCATCTTTATGTCTGTCCCATGCAGGTGTTGGAGGAGCCCCTCAAAGTCATATACGGTGAGTTTGCTGGTTGATGTAAGATCTTCCTTGGAAATAAACATTTTCTCATAGTGAGAATGGTTTTCATTTTAAAAAATAAATAGAGCTTTGATTTGCTGAAAATCTTTTATAACAGTTTTAAACCAAAGTTTGTGGTTATTTCTTTTTCTTCTGAACTATTCCCATGTTTTTAAAAAGCCATTTGAAAAAAATGTCAGTCAGTTCCCCTTCCCTCTTCTGAAAAGCTCAGACGGAACATCATGAAGTACGCGGAGCAAGCCGGGCATCCCCCAGGGCCCCACCCAGGGCTGAGAGTCAGAGCCCCAGTGGAAAGAGGGGGCTGTCGTGTTTGGGGACAGTTTGGTGTGGGTGTTCGAGTAGAGCTGGGTAAGGAGGGCAATCACGTGGAGGGCCGCCCAGAGTGGGGTGTCGGAGCCCAGGCGTGGTGACCAGGGCGTGCTCGTGCAGGGCAGCCTGGCGTGAGGTGTTCAGAGCCTGAGCAGAACAAAGGGAGCGTCTACACAGGGAGACACGGCAGCAGGAAGGGGAGATGCATTACAAACGGGGGCCTTGATCAAAAAGTAAAGACACCAAGAAAAATGGGAGTCAGGATTTTCACTGTTTAAAGCAAAGGGACAAAACCAGAAGGAGTGCTGTGGTGTTAGGTTGGAATTGGTTGTATCTGGTGAAATCATGGATTTCAATAAGTACAGTAAATTAAATTAATAAAATCAATACACGTAGAATGGTGTGTGATGGCTTCGAGGCAGCACCTGCCCCCCTTCACCAAAAGCAGTGAACACACCTTTCATCCAGGTTGCTAAATGTCATTTATACAAAGAAGAATAGGGGCTTTCTGGAGATGGCTGATTCCAGGGCTCAGTCAAAACTTTGGGGCACCCTATGGAGCCGCACAGTGAGAGAGTCTGGGAATGATGGGACCATGTCAAAGGGACCCAGAAGCCAGCTTAGGGGAGGTCCCATTGATCAGTTTGAACACCAAAAAGATAACCATCTCTATTATTAAAGGGATGGTAACCCACTGAATGTAAAAGGAAATTATGAGTCCATTGCTAACATCATGGTGCATCTCCCCACCAGCAATTGAGAGAAAGCTCCCCTGCTGTGGAGATTTTTTATAGCATTCCACAGCCTGTGTCTGTCTGTGCCCCCTTAATGGCAGTCTCAGTGCCCACCATGGCCTGACCCCAGCTTTCCATCCTGACCCTAGAACCCTACTGGATGACCTGGGAACCCTTGGTCCATGTATCTAGAATGCACCTTATATTTCTGGAACATGGTTCACTGCTTCCTTCATGCGACTCTGCCTTTAGGGTGTTTACCTCTTGTTGACCTCCTTTTTGAATAATCCAGTTGTCTGGGACAACTGCCTGCACTCCACCTCTTCTTTGCCCAGCAAAGCCTGTCTGCTCACCTGGGTCCATTCTGAAGTCGACACAGTATCTTTGATGCTTTTGAAACTGAAATACTGTTGCACTTTCATTTGATGTTTGGTATTTTCAATATCCATCCAGTGCTTAGGGCCCAGATGTCAATGACTATGTGCAGACTGAGCACTGACAGGGAGGGCTTATGTAATTTCCTTAGGGTCATGAGCAAAATTCTAAGCTTTATATTGTTATCCATCAATAGACTGCAGTTCTTGTTCGCATCTGTTTATGGAACTCACTCAGGCAACTCTTTGATGGCCTGCGAGTCCTTTAGTTATGCATCTTACTGCTGTGTCACTGTGAAGAACAGATGGCACTAAATACTTTTTGACTTGGTTGAAGGACCTGAATTTCCCTTGCATTGATGGATTACCATTTTTAATGCTGCCATCTTTTTAAATGGTGCTTGCTCATAAACACATGAGAATATATAGTAAAAGCCTGTGTCTTTTATCTTATCTAACATTTGTGCCTAAAATACACACCAGTAGATAGAATATGAACTTCAGTCAGTCACAGCTGCATTTAACAATTGGCTCTTCAAGAAAGCAGTTCTTAGGCCTTGGCTGGTGTAGCTCAGTGGATTGAGCACGGGCCTGCAAACCACACGATCGAGGTTCGATTCCCAGTCAGGGCACATGCCTGGGTTGCAGGCCAGTTCCCAGCAGGGGACTCACAAGAGGCAACCATACATTGATATTCTTTCCCTCTCTCCTTCCCTTCCTCTCTAAAAATAAATAAATAAAATCTTAAAAAAAAGGAAGCAGTTCTTAATAACCAGATAAGTTTGGGCAAATCTCTTCATCAAAGAATGGGGATGGTGAATGTTGACTCCCCAGAAGAGCACCTCCCACCTCTACTGATCAAACAAACATTGAATTCATGGTGATGAGGATGAATTTCCTTTTTTAAAGATTTTATTAATTTATTTTTAGACAGAAGGGAAGGGAGGGAGAAAGCGAGGGAAACATCAATATATGGTTGCCTCTTGTGCACCCTCCACTGGGGGTCTGGACCACAACCCAGGCATGTGCCCTGACTGGGAATCGAACTAGTGACCCTTTGGTTCACAGGCTGGCGCTCAATCCACTGAGCCACACCAGCCAGGGCATGGGGTGAATATCTTGACAGACACTTAGTGATATTTTAGAAAAGAGAAGTCAGAGCAGAATATTTACAGGATTTAGGTCTGGCTGGCTGATTTTCAAAGTGAAGAACTGGTTGAGATTGGGCTGAAATCGTGACATAATAGCTTTGAATTGCTGGGCCCAGTGAGGTGGGCATATAGTTAATTTTAGAATTAAACCGTTTCAGTTGGTTTACAGTTTTATTTTCCAGGAGCAAGGAGTTGGGTCATTTTTGCTTCTTTTTAGTACTGGCTGACACAGGGACAGAATGGCATGTCCCTTGTCAGGACTGTGTGACACAGGTCTAGGAAATGTGTGAGTTTCAGGTCTCAGAGATCAGTCACATCTCAGGACTGCTGGGAGTGTTGGATTGGTTATTGCATGTGAGGGAGATGTGAGGGATACTGGTATAAGTGCTCATTAAAATGTTAGTTTCTTCTCTCTTTCAGCCCATCTGTTCCCAATCCTTCCACCTCCACTTGTTTGAAGGGTTGTCTCATCTTCATATTAGCTGCACCTAAATCAGTGGTATACCACTGGGGCAGCACCCAAAAAAAAGTTTGTGGAACGAGTAAATGAACATTAAAAGATAAAATTTAAAACAACAAAGTTAAGGACTTCTGCCAAGATGGAGGCGTAGGTGGAAGCACTGTACCTTCTCACACAACCACGTTTAAAAACAACAAAGTTTTAGCAACAAAAACACAGTCAAACTACAGAAATTGAACTATATGAAAGTCTGACAACAATGAAACCAGCTAAACCGGTAAGAGGGGCAAAGCCAACAGCAGAGTGGGGTCGGGCAGGAAGGATCCACCAGACCAACCTGGGAGCACAACCCAGGCGCGCCGGCAACCGTGGTGGAACCCGGGTGTGGAGTAGTGGGTGGATCCACTGAGGGCGCAAGGTGGTGGACTCACTGAAGGCTGACCACAGTTACACATTCATGAGCAGATAAACCAGTGAAAAAGCGAGCTGTGAGACAGACCATGCAGGTCCCAGGGGCGGGAAGCTGCAGAAGGGACTGCCATTGTCCCTCTCTGACCCCACCCCCACATATAGCGTCACAAACCAGCGACCTGGGTGGCCCTGCCCTGGTAATCAACTAAGGCTCTGCTCCTCATAGGTAACAGGCACAAACAGATCAAAACATGGCTGAAGAACAACTCAGAGCCCCAGAGCCAATAAATCTAAGCGATGAAGAAATAACTAAACTTTCAGATGCACAGTTCAA